GATCTGCAAGATTCTGCAATTTTTATTGGCTCCGAGCTAATTTTTGTACATCGATTTTCTTGACATAAGGGAATCCTAACGGATCGCACCTCTAACTTCCTATATCACGAGATGATCTGCAAAAATTTGCCAATCACAATGAAAGCCCGCTATGTTTTTTGGAATCACACTATACCAGATACGTATTCCAAGCCGGCACTACTAATAAGGGTTCTACCCTGAAATCCGAAAGCCATTTTCCCGAAAGGACATAATACTGATTAAATTGACCAGCATTATAACTAATGCTGGTTAACTTAATCGGTGTTATGTCTTTTTCGGGAATCTGTCTTTCGGGATTTCAGGGTAGAACCCTAATAAGAAAAGGTGAAGATCATCATTATGAAATTTATATTTATATCGATATGTTCTGTAAATTTCATAATTATGATCATCTTTTCTTATTAGTAACAATGAGTGACGACGATAATGATGCAGTAAACAAAAAAAAACAGACAGAAACTTTTATTAGACGAATAAAGGGAGAACTTCCTTTAGTCTTACCTTCAAATATTCCAATTACTCCGACCAACACCAATGAAGAAGCTACTACCGACGAAATCTTAAACATTTGGTCAAATCAATTGTGCAATTTTTTTACTAAAAAAAAGCAGCATCTGGTTGATTTAGATTCAGAAGAATTTTTAATTAGATTTGACTATTCAATTATTATCTATAATAAATTGAAAAATGAAGAATATCTAAGTTCTGAAAAACAAATTATTAGCGAAATGATTAAACCAACTATTCCAAATTTTAGTAACAATGAATTCACTCGAAAAAAAAAATTTCATAAAAATATGTTTAATTTGTTTGATCTTTTAGAAAAAAAAAAAATTCCACTGGAATTTTGTCGCAATCAGCTAATTGGCTTGGGCTGTACGGTTAATTATTTTTGTGAAAGTAAAGATAAAGAAGTTGAAGCAGTTTTCAAGGCATTTGTTGAAAAATGTGAAAAATGTTATTTTAAGAAACAGCGTGATTAAGTAAGTAAAACAAAATTTATATTTACATACAAAATATATACTAACTATATCGATTTCTATTAGATAATAATAATAATAATTGTAGTTAAGAATGTTATGTTTATGAGTTTAGATATGTTAATTTTAAAATTTTTGGAATTTTTAGATATGTTAATTTTAAAATTTTTGGAATTTTTAATTAAGACACATTAGTTTCGGAGATTAATGTTCTCTTGCCCATTTTCCATAATGTTAAATGGATTTAATATGCATATATGAATTCTTACTAAGCTGTCACGAAATTAACCGATAAAACTATCCTATGTAATTCAAGCTGAAATTTTATTTACAATAATAAAGATATATTATATTTCTGTATTTCAAGCTTGCAATATCAAGTTTATCAGTATTTAATATTTATTATTAGTTTTTTTTTTGTTCACTTAGTTAATTTAATGTTTAATTTGGGCAGAAACAATTAATTGGTCACATATCCAGGGTTGTAAAATTACCGTAATTTATTGGTAAGTAACCAAAACGGTTACTTACTGATAACTTACGGTAAGTTACCACAATATATTTCAAACTATCGGAATCAAAATTTTGCTTATCAAATTATGTCACGATTACTGATACTAAAATGATTAATTATCTCATTATTTATTATAGTTCTTATAATGGTAACTTTGTAACTTACCCTACTGTAACTTACCGGTAACTTACAATTGGTAAAGTTACCACTAACAACCCTGCACATATCTAATGTGACCCAATTATTTGTTTCGACCGAATTTAGACCGTGGGCCGCATAACCCATGAACAACAAGTTCGAAATTTTTCTTGGTTAGATTTTACTCATGGTAACCAAATTATTCAAGTTTGTATAATATTTTTCAGGTATTATTCTTGATTTTTTTGTTAGATTTTACACACGGATTATCATGTAATAAGATTTTACAGATGGCTAATTATGTATCGCAATATTCTTTAACTTTTTTAGATTTTACACACAGTTATTTATGTATCACAACTTAACTTTGTATTATGATATTGCTTGATTATTTTTTTTTAGATTTTACGCACGGTTATTTATGTATCACAACATTCTTTAACTTTGTATGATGATATTGCTTGATTATTTTTTTTTAGATTTTACACACGGTTATTTATGTATCACAACATTCTT